ACTTTATGCTTTCATAAAGTCAGTATACAAAGGTTGAGTTATAATTTAAAGTAACCTGAATTTTTCAGTTAAAAATTAAAAACCGTTTTCTAATACCATCCTTAAAAGGGTTGTAGGTGGAAAATTAAAGGATTATCACGAAAATTACCACATTTAGAATTCACCCCTAATGTTGGCGACATAATTTCCAGTTCAAAGTTTGGACTTTAAACCGGAAGACCTTGTATAATATGGTTAATAATTTATAAACGACAAATTATATTATGCTTCAAAATTTTATTGATAAATAATAACTTTGAACGGATATTGTCCACTATTTTTTCTAGGCTGGGCTTTACTTAAGTTAAAAAAAAAACAGGTACGCCTATGCAAATTGCACGTTTTATTGTATATATTTATCGCTTTTCTGCGGTGTCTTCGTAACGTTACATTCTATATTACAGGTTGCTTTTCCGAATCATTTGTACGAGTACATAACATAAAATAAGTACGCCTTTTACGGCGATAATTATGTAAAAATGTAATTCGCAAGCATACCTATCAGTTCTATATGGAAAACCGTAATATACTGGGTATATAGAAAGTTGAAAAGTTGAATAATCTCGGTTCAGCCAAGGAATAATTTTAATGAATATATTTTTAGTAATAAAATATTATCATTAAACTATTAACAGATAAATTTTCTCCATTACTCTGTTTGTGATTAGTTTTATGACCTCCATCCCTGTTTTCCTCATTTCCTTTCCCACAGGATATCTGTCATACCGTACCAATGCTTTTACTCCTCGACCATTCAATAGGAAAGATCCAAATAAACTATCGTGTCACTGTCTACAAGTTAGCTATAGCGGTAGCAGAGAACTGTCCTGCAGCTGTTAAAATGCATATAGAAATGTGATATAAATCCACCGTTCATTGCCCGGTGTGCCTCATCAGCAAAGTCGCACTTTACACCTTCACAGCGATGACCCCGAGGTTATAAATACTTTGATAAGGTGTGAATTAATGTTCTTTTTATTTTAACCGTATAACGATAAACATTGTTGTGTTACATAATGTTTTGAAATGAATAGATTTGTACATTTTAAATAAATAAAGATTGTTTTTTGGAAATTTAAAGAGTTGTTAACTTATCTATATTGTTGTATCTATTCATATGTATATCTATTCATATAAAATGTATATATCTGCGTCCTATCGTGTCATCTCAGCAAGGTATCATGCATTTGTCACAGCTATCTTTAAAAATATTGTTCTGTAGCTGTTAACAAGTTTCATATTGCTGTATCAGCTATACATTTATATATTATCATACATCGATCTGTGTACTTTTGGGTTACTAACAAGATATCAAGTATCTATTACATTGCTGTCACATAGTTACCTTAAAGAACTGTTCTGTAGCTGTTAACTAGGTGTCATATTGCTGTATCAGTGATATATCCTACTTATATACAATGTATGTGTCCCATCGTGTCATGTCCAAAAAGGTGTCGTGTAGCTGTCACAGCTGTCTTAAAACATTGTTCTGTAGCTGTTAACAAGGTTTCATATATCTGTATCAGCTATATATTTAAATAATATCATGTATCGATCTGTGTACTTTTAGGCAATTAACAAGATATAAAATATCTATTACATAGCTGTCACATAGCTGATTCAAATAACTGTTCTGTAGCTGTTAATTAGATATCATATTGTTGCATCAGTCATATATATACTTATATAAAATGTATATATCTATCTGTGTCCTATCGTGTAATGTCAATAAGGTATTATGTAGCTGTGACAGCTGTCTCAAAAAAATTGTTCTGTAGCTGTTAACAAGGTTTCATATTGCTGAATTAGTTATACATTTATATGTTATCGATAACTAACAAGATATTAGGTATCTATTACATAGTTAACTCAAAGAACTGTTCTGTAGCTGATAACTAGGTGTCATATTGTTGTACCAGTCATATCTATTTAAACTGCATATATGTGTATACTATCGTTTCACTGTCAACACGATATCATATAGTTGTCTAAAAGAACTTATCTGTGCTTTATCTATGTATGTACTATCGTGTCGATGTCAACAAGATAAGTATTCGTCACATAGCTATCTCAATGAACTGTTCTGTAGCTGTTAACAAGATGTTGCTCTACAGTATGCAACAGCTAAATTGAATAAATTCAATAACTCAATATTTATTAAAAAATCCCGAAATAAGTCAATTTTACATTATAAAATAACATACAATATGAAAATTTTACCCCTACTTTCGACCCCCTTCGAGTGACTGTTGCAATACAAATTTGTAAATAGGAAGCAGGTGCTTGTGATATCTCATTTGCAAGATCTCTTCATTACCTATTCCTAAACAATTAATAACGAATAGAGTTTCGTTCTTGATACTGAGAAAGCAAGCAAAAATAATTTAAATTGACTTTTTAACGTATGGATCTGTCAGCCTCATGGAGTATAATTTAAAAAAAAAATTTAAACCATTATTGTTACGACATTGTAGTTCCATGACATCTCAGAGACATCTTTTAAGATTAGTTTACCTGAATTTTATGGACACCATTATTTTTCTTTCATTGCAAGGAGTCATATTAGTTGAGTGAGGTGCCTCTAATTTATGACTAGGCGACCTAACGCGAATAATATCTAGGAAACACCAGGAAGCCACGCCCACTCACACAAGAAATAACTAAAAAATTCGCCTAAATTTAGTTTCAATCGTTCAACAGAGATGTCCCGGAGTCGATATCTCGTTATACACACTCTGCATTCGACCAATAGCTAATTATGTATCGTTAAAAACTCCACACATCTCGTTTCGTTTTATCTATCAGCCGACAACAATGTCGCTCCACTCGTTATAGCGACTTTATCTTCAAGTTTTCAATAAGTGAATAGTTTCGGGGTCGATATTTTTACCATTAACAGTGCATGAAGTGAATTTTCGACAGTACAAAAAACGCTTTTCATTTATGGGCAAGGGGCTCCTCTCGGGGTTGAAACAGATTCACCAGCACATTGCATTTGATTTCATTTTGTAAATACTGTCAAATATAAATGCTACATTATGTTTACTGTAAAAGTGTAATAACTGTTTAAAAAAATATTATTGTTGGGATTTTTCAGATTTTTGAAAATATCCTGTTTTGTTATTAGATTTTAAAGTATGCCATAATTCTTTTTAAATTGCTGTACGTAAGCTTTTTCTCTTTATATAGCTTGGTTTGTATAATTTTTAATATTTTTATGAAACTAAGTTAACTGTTCAATTTTTAAGGGCCTTAGCCTTTTCATTTACCATTTGCTTTACAGTGAAAATCGGCTATGGAGCATTATTTTTTTGTAAATCTAGAGATAACTAAGGAAGCATGTCTATCAAATATAGACATTCTTCACAAGAGCAAGCAACGATTAAAGCCCGTTGCTTGTGGCTACTTATTACCTGTGTCTAAGTGATCTTGACCCCTGGAATTATTCATCTCCATCTGTAGCTACCCGAATACTTTCGACGCTGCTTCGACAGTTTTTGGAGTCAATCACATTAAATATTCTGGCGCCCGAGAGCCGTCCGTAACAAATGTCACTCGTAAGGAACCGTTTTCTCTGCAGCAAGAAAACCCCTTACACAATTTACAAGACATGATACCTTTTCATCGACACAGTCTTGATCAAAATAGCAAAAAGTTTTATTGAAATTGTTCATCGTTAATCATCAGTCATATATCCACATAAAATGTTTCTGTTTATGTAAACCTGAGGCATTTAATAGATACTTCCTAGAGAACAAAAACTTTTACAGAACTATATCGAACGCCAGTATTACAATAAAATTAATAAATACGCCTGTTTCACTGTCAAAGTTAATGGCCAACTAGGTTGCAATGCGTACGATTTCATTTCATAACTAATAATAATTAATAATTTCTTAACATATTCTAAAGACATTAGCAAAGGTTGATGGTCGTGTGTATTGCACCAATATGTGGTAATTAAATATCGTTAAAATGGGCTAATTAGAATAAAAAATGTTTATCGTTGCTAAATAGAGGTGTGAACGCTTATACTTCGATTTAGGATAGAAAAACTAACAAATCTACTAATTCATTAGAAAATTTTTTGCCCTTACAAAGTATAACTGCTGGAATTAAGATATTTACATTTTTATTTCTATTTTGCAGTGATGAAATATTTAATGAAAGAAAAATCGTAATAATTCAAGGTTCAACGTTGCACTATCATTTAAATTGCTCAGAATTTCAACCTTGGACGTAATTTTTGTAGCGATGATTTTAAATTTTATTTACTTTTGTAATTGCATCGTCGATAAACGTTTATAAAACATCTTCGTTCTTCAACAGGAAGCCCCACGTTGGGCGCCCATTTTTATAGCGTTACAGGTCTATTCCTCGAGATAATATAATTAAGATAAAATAGTTTGACACGTTGTAGATATTTAGTAAATTGCTAAAAAGGTTAGTTACATTCCACAATAGATTCATGAATGGACGAAGGATTATCTATTTCAGAAAGACGAGGGCAAGGTCGCGTTATGGCGTAACGACAAAAAAAAGCCAAAACATGGAGGACATCGCCACTAACATCGCCATCGTCTTCGAACTCTCGTGCCTTCTCTGCGTTTCTCTTTCACTTCGACACAACGAAAACAACAGGTCGTCCGCAAGGATCACTTTCACATTTTTCGAATGTTAAATTATTAGATTAATCGTTTTTGCGGTCTACGGTTGTGGAATTCTACCGATACACGTATGATCGTTTCTAACTTTTATTGTTAGCCGCTTAATTTGCTTAGAACCCGCTTTTTAACGACTGTTTTAATTCAATTTTAACCTTTAAACAAATTATTTTCAACCCAGCTAACGTTAAAAATGACTTTACATGTTGGTTCGCGTTTTAGTTTATAATTTTAAAAAATTTTCGCCCTAATTGGGACAGCAAACAATTTATATTAAGATTTGATTATAATATTTACCTGTTTTCTTTATACATATGACAATTGATGGCTCTGGCCATTAAAATGGTAACCATAGGCCTGATCGCTTTCCCGTGCCCATCGAAATAATATGTAGCTATTTCGTATAGATTGTCCTGGAATGTATTTCTTCTAAGAGCCTAAAAAAAAAAAATTTAAGTACAAACGTATTTCCTAACGAAAAAAAAAACCAATGAGTAGAACTATTGGTAAAATAATATATGAAATTTTTCTGTTTTCGTCTTGTTTTCTTTCTGTCTCTACGTATAATATATCCCAACTCTGTATCATTCATTCACCACTATACAGGGTAGCAAAAAAGTGTGGCAACAAGGTATTTTCTTTGAAATGAATGAATGTATAATGAATTGTAGGATGATGAATGGGACTATATTTTGCATTTTTTAAAAGTACATGTCAAATTTATGTGACGTCGGCGTTTAGCGTACTGTCGCCATCTTGAATTTTTATAAAAGGCAACGTAAGTCGAGTGGTATATCAAAGAAAAGGTTATTTTATCCTTTTTTCAAGAATGCTAAATGAAAATACCTATAACATTGCGGTTCTATTATTCTACTTTTATTTTTAACTAGTCTTGGTTCACCACTGGTAGATAGTTAATCAGAAACTAAAAATAGTAGTTAGGCACTGAAAAAAATGTCAAAAACATTGTGTATACCACGATACACAGACTAAAGCTACGGTTTGATAGAACGGTGCGCGACGCAAAACTCAAACAGCCGTATGCATAGTCGATCGACAGAGATTCATTTCGGCGTATCGCCAGCGATTCGCTGGCGATCCGCCGGCGAAAGCCCAAAAAGCTGGCGACTCGCCGGAGATTGTCACCGGAATGTCATTTTCCGCAAGTTTTCATGTTCTTTTATAGGGAATAATTTGATATTCGTTCATTATTTTTTGAGTTTTAAGAAATGAATCATGAATAAAATGCGAGCGATACCGGTGATAATCCCTATAAAATAAAATGAAAACTTGCGTGAAATGACATTCCGGTGACAATCTCCGGCGAGTCGCCACCTTTTTGGGCTTTCGCCGGCGGATCGCCAGCGAATCGCTGGCGATACGCCGAAATGAATCTCTGGCGAGTCGCTGGCGATCGACTATGCATACGGCTGAAAGTCTACTGAGTGCCACGCACGTCCGCTGAAATCTAATAATGTTAATAATATTGGAATGGTTTGTAACAGCCGTATGCATAGTCGATCGCCAGCGACTCGCCAGCGATTCCCTGGCGATCCGCCGGCGAAAGCCCAAAAAGGTGGCGTCTCGCCGGAGTTTGTCACCGGAATGTCATTTCACGCAAGTTTTTATTTTCTTTTATATGGATTATCACCGGTATCTCTCCCATTTTATTCATGATTCATTTCTTAAAACTCAAAAAATAATGAACGAATATCAAATTTTTCCCTATAAAAGAACATGAAAACTTGCGTGAAATGACATTCCGGTGACAATATCCGGCGAGTCGCCAGCTTTTTGGGCTTTCGCCGGCGGATCGCCAGCGAATCGCTGGTGATACGCCGAAATGAATCTCTGGCGAGTCGCTGGCGATCGACTATGCATACGGCTGTTAGAGTCAGCACCATAGATAAATTAATAAACCAAGATGAATTTTTTAAATGCACGGCACTGTCAACTCGTTGTAGTTCTCAGCATACTTTAGCGCCACCATCGTAATAGTATAAAAGAGATGTTGCCGGTTTCTGTAAACATCCATGAGATGGGGGTTATTTCAAATTCATCTTATTTTTAAGAAGATAAATAGTGTTGATTTGATGTAATTAGTAAGTATTAGCAATTTAATTTGTTATTAAAGCTATGTAGATTTATTTAAGGACTTTGTTTATCATTGTTTTCTTAACCTTATATAATTTCATATTTCATGGATCTTGTTCTGTTTTAATAATTGAAACAAAAAATGTCTGGCCCGGGTATAGTTAAGTATTCTCGAGAGTATTCTTGTTCAGCTCCTAATTGTTTAAATAATTATTATTTTAAAATTCAGAAAGTTGGATATTCAAATATTAAACCTTTTTTCATTTTCCTTTCGATATTAAAACTTTAAATTTAACTTTAGATAATAATACTCGCTATCTTTGTGCAGACCATTTTTGCCTGAGTCTTTTAGTAAGGTTTTCTCAAAACGTAAACTGCTGGTTGGACATTCTGTACCAATTTCATTAGATAAATGTGCATCCAGTTCAAATATAAAACCTGAGAATTAGATTTTAGAATATGTTGAGGCTGAAGCACAAATATAGCAGCATAAGAAAACCAAGAAATTAGTTGCAAACGTAAACTTAATAATTAGTGATGAATAATTTGAACGACTCTCTAAACGAAGAAAAACAATAAATAGAGTCAGAAATTTAAGTCCTAAAGAGAAAAAGTTGTATTTTATTAATATTTGATAAGAGAAATTGTTCAATAAGACATATATGTACACTTTTTGTTTTTGTTTTTATAGGAAACACGGGACACCCAACAAAATATGGTCCATTTTTCCAAAAATTTTAATTACAATTGTTATTTAATATTGAGCTCATTACCATGTATGTATTACTGTATAATAATTAATTAAAATATATGTTTCAAATATTTTATTTTAATGTAAATATGTTTTGGGGTTTTATTACGAAAAAAAACAACTAATATTTATGTTAAATACATTATTTTGATGTAAATATTAGTTTTTTTAGAGTAATGAATGCCAAAAAATGTAAATAAATAATAAATTATATTTGAATGAACCGCGGTTGGCTTATAGCTCTTCTTTTTTTATTCTTCTCTATCTTATTCAGTTTCTAACTGGCAAGTCAATCAGCCAGTGTAGTTCAAAAAAATCCGTTCCATACTAATTTGCAGCACTATACGTTTCCAAGCAGAGTATGTCGACTGGTACGGCTATATCAAGCGGCACCATACAAGACCTGGTGGGTTTTTTATAGCTTTTTGTATCTTTTTTGTTACTTGGGGGTCCTAAATTAGACCATTGAGGCACCCCTGAGGTAGCGAAAAATAATTTTGAAGGGAAGCCATTACATGTTAGTTGCAGTTTTCTTAATGACAGACAGAAAAGAAACAACATTTGCATTGATTTTGAAAAACCGAGCTGATTTGCATTTATATTACATGGTTAATCTTACAGAAAGCCTTTTCAAAATCAGTTAAAATCTACAGTAGAATATTTCATGTAAAAAATGGTTAGAAGCAAGATAAGTTTGTCACAGTAGATCAATTTGACATGAAACCATGCTGACAGTCCGATATTAACGGATGTGAAGTTATACACATCCACAAATGTACCCTGAGAAAAATATATCTCTATCGTAATAATCATATAAATTGGTTCAGATTTCAATTGGTGAGGTTTCAATACATAACAATTATACCCGCAATTAACTTTTGCTCCGTCTGAGGGGGTGCAAATGGGAGTGAAATTTAAAAAAATCATAGAAGCCACAAATGGCATTGTACACCTTTCTTCTTGGGATATGTTAAGTAGTTTGCTCTTTTCTTCATCCCTGATACCATGCTGGAGTTTTTCGAGCCGTCTGAGGGGTTGCAATTGAGGATGAAATTAAAAAAAAGTAGAAAGCCATTTGTGACTTCTATGATTTTTTTTAATTTCACCTCCAATTGCACCCCCTGAGACGGAGCAAAAGTTAATTGCGGATATGATTGTTATGTATTGAAACCTCCGCAAGTGAAATCTGCAAATGAAAAGCCTCTACATGTCCTTTGAACCAAGTTATATGACTATTACGATAAAGTTATATTTTTCTCAGTGTACATTTGTGGATGTGGATAACTTCACAGCCATCGATATTAAATGCTTCGTGAGTGGATAAATTTTATTATATATACAAATTTTAAAAAGTTTTTTGCAAGATTATTAGGAACAGCGATGGGGCGATAATTATTTAGGAGAGGCGGATTTCCTGACTAAAATATTGGACAGACATGAGTTATTATCCATTTAGGTAAAACGTTTTGAAAAATATATTGAATAAATAAAGAGTTTGAATAGGTATTACTGCATATATCGAGTTATTAAGAGTAGGTATATTATCATTTAACCTTTTATGTACAAAACCAAACTGTTTCCGCAAAGCTGTTTTCTTATCTTTAAGAGGAATAAATCAATCAAACAAACAGAATCATAGTCTAATGAAAAAAGCTCGTGTTATTGAAAATTCTCTTCTACAGACACGCATTGATTATTTCAATTACACATAAATTTTTCATTAATTATGTTTCTTCGAGGCAAGCAAATCATTCGAACAAAAACAAAATTAGTTTAGCTCACGTGCGAATAAAACGTATAATTAGACACATTCAATGTTTGACTTGGTAGTTATTATGTAAAATTAGATTTGCAGATAAACGACAATTTTCAATTTTATTTAATGACACGGCAATGACACCAATAAACCTCTTGAAGATGAATAGATAATTTAATTATCGTAAGATGTCGATACAATGGTTAGAGAATGTTACAATATCCTTAGTTCTTACTAATTATTACTTATTGTTATTATTAATGTTGATGGATACGTTATTGTGTCAAGAACGCATTTGCGGTTGATCCTGAATCTCTATCAATCTATATAAAGGGTATTTTTTAGAGGTATAGAGGTTTAAAATGAAATATAACATCAAACTAGCAATGGCTATGGTATTGGCTTTAATAGAAAAATATTGTCAGTTTCGGCATCTACATATCAGTTAAAGTTTGATGAACATCTTGGAAACTCGGCAAAAAATGTCTAATTTTTGCTATTAGACCCTTTAGTGATTATAATAGAACTTTAAGTTATTTTATACATAAAAAAATGCTTACATTTCTGATATATCCGTAAACATCCCTGAGATCGTCCTCCAGAAGAGCGTACGGATCCACTTGGTACTCGGGTAGGGAACCGGGTTGCTGGGTTCTCATGGTGGCGAAGGTACGGGCGGTACCGGGTACTTCGGGTCGTACACAGGGATGCCAGCATCCCGATGTCGTCGTAGTTTGAGCAGCGGCCGCTGCTACGGCGTTTTTCAGCGCCTGTGCCTGTAACGAAAAGAAAATAATGTAAAAATGAATATAAATAATTATATTCAATGATATCGTATCGTTCATTAAAGACTATTCATTAAAGACAATTAATTACAGACGATTCTATGAAGACGATTAATTATGAATAATTCACTAAAGACGATTCATTAAAAATGATTTATTAGACAATTCATTAAAGACGATTCCTTATAAAGACGATCTATTAAAGACTATTTATTAAAGACGATTTATTAAAGATGATTCTTTAAAGACGATTCTTTAGAGACGATACTTTTAAGACAATGCGTTAAAGACGATTCATTAAAGAAAATTTTTAAAAGACGATTTATTAAGGACTATTCATTTAAAAACGATTTATTAAAGACGATTAATTAAGGGCGATTCATTAAAGACGATTCATAAGATAAAATACATTTTTAAAAAATCCGCTTTAAATGTTAAAGAAGATTCATTATAGAAAAATTGTTTTAAAACGTCCGTATAACGCTTCGAAGGTCTAATGGCAACCCAAAAATCGTGGATTCGAGGAGCGGATTTTTTTAAAAAAGGACACCCTATATATCATAATGCAAAACACCAATACAATAGTTTTAAAACCTGCCTCAGTTATTCATTTGCATATTCATGATTGTTTTGAATTCAAGTTTATGTGCATTATTTATTATTTTCAATTAATAAACATTATTATTACATTATTTTTTGGCTGGCTTTTCCAGCATTAATAATTCTGCTACATTCTCTATTTTTACTTAATCGAGGCTTGTATTAAATCATTTTACAATGGGCCATGTTCACATGTGAGATATGCTGTTTTATAAATTATATTATAACAAGTTATTCTACATAATCAGTTTGTTAAAAAAGCCAAAAGTTTTTAAATTAAATCCAATTTAAATTTAAAATTTGAAATGTGTACGTCATCGGGAATAGACCAATCAGCTTGTGTCGAAGTTTTTTTTGTTATACAGAACCAATCCAACGAACAAACCGACACACAGAATGTCGAAGTGAACGCACATCTAAGTGACTCTTAAAATTAACACCACCTAGACCACCTAATCTAATATTCGTTTTTTGTTTTGTATACTTTTTTCTCAGTTCTCGATTTATTTCTTCTGTCTTTGCTAATTGGTTTAATTTTATTAATATGAGTTTGTCAGCTGGATTTATAAAAGTTGATTCAAGTGTTTTAACCATTGTAAACCAAGATATGATTACCGAGATATTGCATTTTTTAACAATACTCAGTTTATAAAAAACAGAAAGGTATGTAAATCTTTATTTATAATCTGTTTTAATGGTAATTACAGTTTATATGGAGCAATAAACTTATAGTAAAAACATATTTATCTCAGTTCATTAGGGTTTGTTATTGTATAAAACGAGAAGGGTAGTGGATATGTATTTACTGTAATACTATTTTCATTTGGTCGAGGATTACCTACTTGTTATATGTCTTGTAAATAATTGTAATATAATTACATTTTTGTGAATGAATGACTACTTTTTGTAAATATACAAACTCTTTCTGTTACAACTATTATACACATGTCTAGTATTTGCATGAATAAATCTACGATAATATTTTATGAAATAATTTGGAACATAGAAAAGTAATAAAAAATGAAAAAAAAATGGAATCCATAAAAATGTACTCTTGAAAATACTAAAAAATCATCACATTATTAAATTAAATATTTTATTATTTTTAGATCTGCCAAGCAAGTAGGTACATATATGGAGATAATGCGATTTCCCATAAATAACTTGACGAAAGGAGATATTTGCCCAGTAAACGGAATAATTACACATGAACATAAAGTATTTTGCATTGTTTCTTCCACATTTGAAGTAAATAATGAAGTCGATAACAAGTTGAATTTGATAATGAATCTTTAGAGGACATTTTAATTTGACATCTCCATTATTGTTAGGGCTTGTGTATATATTTTTTATTATTTGTAAATAAAGTGTTTTTTACTTCGTTTATCTTATTCAGGTATTTTTATTTTTTAATAATAGGTTAATAAATAAAATTTTCAAAGATTTTACATTTTTGTTTATATATAATTATTATAATCTCTGAAATGTGATAAATTAATAAAAAAAACAAACCGTTTATTAAATTATTTGGTGTTTACAATATAAGTTCTTTTAAGTTAAAAATACCACTAATTCACACAGAAATGTAAAAGGTTTATGTAAGCTACACTTTCCTTCTCATAAATATTGAGGATTTTAAAAACACTATTGGGCAATCCTAAATATACCTTTGGTTTGTTTTCAATTTTGAGAGTTCATTGGTTTTGAAGATCCCGCTCATTATAAGTCCCTCTGAATCAGATATTAAAGATGTTTCTTCCGATTCAGACAAAACTTCACTATCTTTAAAACTTTCAGGTTTCGAGGCAGGTTCTTGCAGAAGGGGTTTTAGGATATACACCTTCGAACTTATAGTAGGTTCATTTTAAATTAACCGAAGGGGGCAATGTCAAAAAGTGCTGCTGCATCTTGAAGAGCCGGTGTATGTTTATTAAATAGAGATGAAAAATGCCTCTAGTAGAAGGTTATTTTCCAGTCAACCTTTTTTTGTTTGCTGTTTTTCTTTTTTTAGTAGAATCAGTGAGCTGGCTCTTGTGTGGTGAATAACAAGAACTGTGGAGACTTCTTATGTAAAGGTTTATCTATCATTTAAAAAAAAGAAAAAACATCGTTACTACAATGGTAGATAATTGAACAATTAAATTACAATAAAACATTTTTATTTTAATAAAGAGTATAGATACAAACCTCAACAAAATAATTTAGTGCTTGAAGCCTTTCTGTGTAATGATAATAATTTTCGTCTTTTCATATTTCTAGCAACACTTATAAATATTTTTAATAATGAATGTAAATCATTATCACATCTTGGTAGGAAACATTTTATTCACTCATAATATTTATAAAAACAGTAAAAACATCAAAATTGCATAATTATCGATTAACAACACAAAAGTTCTTGATTCACAGATGACACATGCAGTGCTGCCGCATTTCCATTTTCTTGTTTATTAGTTGTCGTTTTTTAAAACAATGAAACTATAAATATGGTGAAAGTTTAAACATAAATAATACTTTTAAAAACATTTGATGTTTATATTTAAAAGATATTTGTTTAACGATATTTAGAAGTCTAAAAGTAAGACGGTGTACACAAACGAACGTATATTACTTTTCGTATACCTTCTAACTGGCAACGTTGTGTGGCTAGTTCTTATTGGTCTATTCCCGGTGACGTCATAAATTTTAAAAAATTAATAACTCGGGCAAATGAATAGATAAAAAAAAATATTTTAAAAGTAGCTTTATTTTGAACTCTAAAAAATTTCAAAATTTTTGAACATGCCCCATTCTAAATAAATATTTTTCGTTCGATGAATTATTTTAAATAGTAACGGGTTAATATTTATTTCGATTCTTTAGGTACGTATCGGTATGTTATACGTTCGATTGAAGTGAGAGCTGGTCTCCACCTATGAAGTCGTACTTGTCAGAAGGTCAGAAATGCTCATCGATTACCTAAGACACGAATATTTTCTCTTAATTATTGTATTTGTTAATACTCCTATTAATGGGAAAACAATACCTACCTACATTTCGATAATAAAATTAATTATCAACATCCTAATAGTTTGAATGTTTACAAAACTTTTATCTCTAGTCCGTTATCAGATAAACTTGTAGTTTCCATTTTTCTGTTAATAGCTATATCAAATTTAATCATCGGAATACCCATAGATTAGTTATTTGTTATCTTCATGTATAAAAAATTATTGATATACCAAATTAAGAAGAAAAATGTATGTGAGCCAAATAACTGTTTGAAGAAGTCATGGGATCATTATGAAAAAAGAACACGAAAAAAAGAAGAAGAGCGGTTAAAATAAGGAGGGAAATGGGAATTCTAGAAGCAACAATCGATAGAAAAAGAACCTGAAAAAGTATATCAAAACAGAAAGTGTTTCTTAATGATAATTGTGAAAAGATCTTTGATTAAACGGGGTTTCTTTTAATTTAAGTGAATTTTAACATATTTATAGTTGGTTTAGAGTGTTTAGACCAATATAAGAAAAATTAAAACATTTTTAGATGGAAAAAATATACAAAAGACAAAAAAGGATATTAACAAATTATATTTAATACATTTTTGTTTACTCTCAATTTAAAAAATGCAAAATAATTATAAACACAAACATCTAAAACTATTTTTACTCTGCTCTAGTTTCATACCATTCCATACACGTTCGTTCGACAGCTACAAAGTAATTGACGATCGTATACTAACTATACTATAATACAGCAGAACAATTGAAACCGCGATCGCTAGCGTCAAGGTCATTGCCACCGATGACCGCCTCTCTTAACAAATCAGTAGTTAGGTACGATACGATTAGGAAAAAAGAAAGTGAACTATTTATTCTGCCAGACAAAGATGGAACATTGGAAAGTTAATATTATCGAATTTCGTGCTATCAATGACGGAGTTACGCTTGTCTATAAACAGGGGTTACTAGGGGATCTAATTCCAGGGTACAGCAAAATTTGTCCGTTTTTTTCACCTTTAAACCCCCAAAGTGAAAACAAATTTGTTTAAAATTTTGAAAAACTGTCCTGGAAAGAACTCGAAGCCTCCATATTCCCATTCTACGCACGGTGCCTTGAGAACTCTGGCATCAAGACATTAAATGTCTGGAGTCTAAATGGTCAATTTCAATATTTTCGAATCTCACTTGATGACAGAAAAAAAAAGAAAAAATGACAATAGCAAAAATGAATTATTGCTTAATTATTAATAAAATTTGTTTAGATTTAAAAAAAAATAAGAAACTGATTGTACAATTCAATTGCAGGGAAAAAAATATAAAAGAAACTGTATTTTATTTTTTGACCAGGACCATTATTTTTGTATATAGTAATGATATAAACATTTATAAGGATGAAGGAGTCATTGA